ACTCTTTCGAATCAGCTATCGCGTCTGTTTTAAGCGATTTGAACGTTGCCTTTTAGTTAAAAACCGAGCAAAAAACAACACTCGGAGATGTTTTTTCCACCGCTCTGCATACGTCATCTCCTTCATCGCTCTGATTGGTTTAGGTCTATCCGCGACGTCCGTTGGTGACGCCCCTCTGGAAATGATTAGTCTATGACGCTTTGCCAGACCATAACTCAGTTACGACCATAACTCAGTTACAACCATAACTCAGTTACAACCAGAATGGTCTGGTTTTAACCAGGCTAGGGTTATTATTCAGTATTCCATGAATTAGATGTACATTTCAGACATCTTCGCTTTCATTAAAACCTTTAGGTTAGTTGCATTCATAGTGTTACTGACATATCTTTATTTAAAAAAATGGGCAATTAAATATATTCATATGCCTATATAAGTCACAGAATAATTTTCACCTTTCAGATGAATCTCTTTTACTTGGATTCTCCTTTGTCTGTCATCGGTTATTCAATTATTCAACTAATTTGTCAAAATTCAAATTTAAATAATTATAATATAGTTGATTTAGTATTTTAGAGGGGGTGGGGGGTTCTTACCCCAGGTAGGGGGCCAACTTACTCCAGTAGTGGGGTGTAAGAACGGAAGTTCAAAGGCAAAATTCTAAAGATGGCTGCAAGCTTCTATCTCTGGTGCATGCGGTCTATATGACCAGTATTCTACATTCTCTGTAGAACTCTGAGCTAAGTAAACCAGGCAGAGAAAGAGGCTGGACATGTGGTAACAGGCTTCATTTTTTCACGCTCATGTTGAGGTGACTGGACTCATCATGAAACCCAAATGTGTGACCATCTGTGCTTATGTTGCTGTACTGCCATCTCTCTATTATAGCCTGTAGGCTCACATAATAGTTTCCATTTATAATAGCATGTATTGTGTAACAGCATTAAAATATACCTCCGCTTCACACTGAACCCCACCTCCCATGTTAGACTATATTATATTGATCAAAAAGATCCATGAAAATCAATCTCTCACTTTTGACTTAATTTTAGAGACCTCTGTGCTAAAAATATCAGATTTCGATGGATCCACGCAGAGCATGTTCCAGTCTGCAGCCCAGTATTAAGGCTAGATGTTTTTTGATGATGGATGAGAATTCCCTCGGGCCAATGTCAGTGAGAGGAGGCAACACAGCTTATGTAATGTTTATGATGTCTTTGCCAACAAAAAAAAAAAAGAAGTTAGTTCTATGTAAGCACTCTCCATGTTTTACATGTCATTTGCCAGTTCTGGAATCCTCAAAAACATTTATTATAAAACAGATTTGTCTATAGCGTATACCAATCTTGTTATACGCCATTAGAAACATCTTTGACCTGTTCACTGTAGCGGATAATTACGTTTTGTTTAGTTGGCAGAATATACACTACCGTTCAATAGTCTGAAGATAGAAGTTTTTATTTTCACAAAGGATGCATAAAATTGATTGTTAAGACAATTGAATGATTTCTATTTCAAATAAATGCTGTTCTTTTGAACTTTCCATTTATCCAAAAAATCTTGAAAAAAATCTATCATGATTTCCACAAAACAGCACAACCATTTTCACCATTGATACATTAAAGAAATATACCATATTATAATAATTTCTGAAGGATAATTTGAAACTGAAGCATGGAGTAATGCTGACAATTCAGCTTTGCCATCACAGGAATAAATAACATTTTAAAAATAAAATAGAAAATATTACTGTTTTTACTTCATTTTTTGACCAAAGAAATGCAGTCTTGGTGAGCATAAGAGACTTATTTCAAAAACATTGGCCCCAAACTTTTGAACGGTAGTGTGTCTTGTAGTGTATCTGTGAACAGATCTATTGAAAATGTGTCATTATTTATTTATTTATTATGCAGTAAATGTTTTATAAAAGCAACAAAGGCACTCAAGGCTCTTCTATTGTGAATACAGTCATAGCTAAAGGGCCAGCAGGCATGCATACAGCCTCTCATGTACACCTCTCACATATTGTTATTGTTTAAATATACTTCTTTTATGAGGTAAATCATACAAGTTAATTTCTGATAAAAACTTTATAACTATAAAACTAATATTTCCCAACACTTTTAACAATGTTATTGCCTATTATTATAAAAGGTTGTGTGTGTGTGTGTGTGTGATGCAGCTATCCATGTGGCCATTTCTAATATGAGCACTTACCATCTCATTCATTGAAGAGAGAAAATTAAACGTTGCCTGGCAACCACAAAGAGCACTTTCCTTAAAAATTAGATTTTGATGTCATCAGCAAAGCCAAAAGCACTTATTTCAAAGTGTTGTGCATTAAACAGCAGATTGTCTACAAAGTGCTTTTGTTATTTTCCTCACATGACCAACCCTATTAAAGAAAATCTGGAGTCAGATATTATATAGATATATAATATATAGATATATTTTTAGAAATGTTAATCGCATGATTTCTGGGTTCTGTGTGATCCACAGAGGGAACATTCTGTCCAACAGTCTCTTTAAAGCATGCTACAACTACAAAGTGCCTTTAATCTAGATTTTAGAGGAAGGGGAGGGAAATAGGTTGAGAGGGAGGAGAAAAGGTTGCTAATTGGGGAGAGGTACGTCAGTGACATTCAAGACAACACTGCTGCCTACTGTTCGAAACAAGAATGGATTTTTGGGAGAAGTGTGCATGATTTGCTTGTCAGAAAGTAACTGCTTTTATAAACTTCCAATCCAAAGGTTGGACAGATTTTTTTGTTCCTAATATTTTCCAACATTTTAGATTAATAATAAAGTTGCCAAAAATGCAAGTTTTGTTTGTAGGCTATTCAAATAGTTTAATTCTTACTCAAAGTCGCCATCTTGTGTGTAGATTACAGCTCTGCACACTGGACATATAGATTCCTCATTATAAGCAGCTGTTTCTATGGGCCACAATGCTAAAGCCATCCACCATATTGGAACGGTCAAATCCGGCCGTGAACCCTCGAGAGCAAGTTGACTGTGCGTCTGCAACCTATATATATAAATAGACTTCGGCGGATGCTTTTACTAAACTAACACAATACAAGACGACGCGTTAGCTAACTCGACGTTAAAAAGTTACCATAATTTAAAAGCCTGTATATTGAGTTGATATAGCCTAGCTAGTAGCTATTAAAACAGAAACCAACACATTCTCACCTGTGAAAGGTTATCCAATTTCTTCAGGAATGTAAATGTCCGCGGTTTTTACAACCAGAAGCTGTTTAATGTTGAGGTGTTATTTTACTGTGAGTTAGGACAGCAACTGAAACGTTGACCTTTCCAAGATGGCGCAGGCGGCGACGTGTCTGGAGCGGTCGAATGTGGCATCTACGTTTACAAATCGGATTCTCTCAACCAACTTCTTGAGGTGCATCCTGGCGCTACGTTGGCTTCTTTTCCTTAACTATCCATCCCTAATATTTCTATTTATTTTAGAAAACATTTAAACATAAGCATTTCGATCAAAATGTTTTTTAAATTACGATAAATTAATGAACTAATTAATTAAATTCGGAGTCCAAACAAAAAAACAAAATCCATCTAGAGGCAGGACAGCCAAAGCTCAGGATTATTTTGAGGGAGAGGGGGGATAATGCAAATAATAATAATGCAAGTCGCTTTCCTTGGTTGTTGTGGTCTTACAATATCTGGGTCATTCTACAAAACTCATCTGTGTTCCTCGACAGTGTAATTGCTTGAACTTTTATGTATTTTTAAACGTGGCTTCCTGAAAAGAGATGAATTATGTGAGGCCAAGGGAATCTCTATTTCTATCAATTTATCTTGTAAGGTGCAAGCTGTCAATCCCGTTACAATGTAGGCTACAGTTAACAAAAATATACTTTTTTTAAACAAACATCACCGTATGAGTTTGAGCCCTGTAAACTGTCATATAGCTTATTGTATGTTAGTACCTTGAGGTGGTACAATGCAGGATTGACACGTTTTAAACCATATAGAAATGTATTTTAAAATAAGCTTTTCAAAATGCACCTGCTTAATAGTCACTCATCATACACTATATCATGGCATTTGAGATGCCAATAAACCAACGGTGAATCTAAAAAAAATCTAAAATGAATAAATAAATATGACAGTTTCAAAATGACCATTTATTTTTTCTTCTTTTCTTTTTTGTAAAAGAACTTAAATACTGCTAGATTTGCCTTTTACACAATTATATTCCATAAAACATTTTTTTCTTTCAAATTTGTAATAAATTAAAATGATATGCATGCAATTTTGCATTTCCATCTTCAATTTTCAACTTTCACAAAAAAAAAAGGAAAAATTGACACATTTTTATTCTTTTATCTGGAGCTCAGATGAAGCTGCTGTGAAACGGGAGAGAGCAGGATGATGGGAAGGGATGAACAACGTTCCGGTTTTACAGAGAAGTTCCATCTGATTGTCTCAGGCAGCAAATTCAGAGGTTTCAGATTTTTTGTTTAGTCCACTTTTGGCATCGACTGCCAAATTCCTCATGTTCATTCATCCTCATTATATAATTAACAGAGAAGCATGCTCATAGACAAATGCATACAGAATGTACTCGTTGCGGCCCTTCGTTTTTCAGAGTTTATTTTTTCTTTAAAATGTATTCTTTTGAAAATGCACAAACTAGCATAAATTAATAAGGCGAGAATATGCAGGCTAGGAACTCCATGGTCTGCCAAGGCCTTGTGTCTGTAAGTTTCAGGTCCAGGAGTGAACTGCTTCCATATGAGGATCTACTTGTCCTTGGCCAGTCCCTTTCACCCTGAAAAACGTATGATCAGAAAAACGACACTTTGCGGGTTTAGTTTGTAAGTATTTGAGATCTGGATGGCAGCTGCTGCAGTTGGCAGGGTGGAGAACAGGGTCACTCCTAAAGAATCAGAACTAAACTAACCTTTTCGTTCTAGAGTTACATTTAGTGTTGAGGTCTTTAATGGTATTTTTTAGAGAAAAGATGGATGTACCAAAGTGCCATCATTTCTGCCATTAAATTATGAAAATGAATCATAAAAAGTCTTGCTAACTCTACTGAGGACTAGATCACAGCGACATTTTTGTTCTTCAGCATTCCTATGTTATGCATCTCTTTAAGCTGTCTTTTCTAACTGGAAATGAATGCCTGGCACGAAACGAGTCCATGGCACTGGATGCAGTGCGTCATGCTAAACTGCACAGATGAGTGGCTGTCTGTGGCTGAATCTGAGATTCCTGCTGTTTACGGCAGAAGTTATGTGGAAATTCCTCCGCCTAAGATTTCGAGGCTTTGGAAAACTCCAAAGATCTTTGTATTTAAGATTCCATTTTCTGTAACAAAAGACAGCTGGCAGTAGGTTTGTGTTACATTATTACTGAAATGTTCCAGTTTGGCAGCCACTTTCTCGGGGTCCTGCTTATTGGTCTGTCCGCTCAAGTTTATGCACTAATGACAAGGGAAGCATGCGGTCAGGTAACATGCTGGCAATAATGACATAAAGACTAACTGAGCTCCTTATTCGGTTTTCAGGGATCCTGCATACACCCTTTGAAACTCTCCGATTCTCTGCTATTGCTAGCTTCACAGAATATTTGCTTTTAAGGGCCAACCAATCATTCAATTCCATTTTGAAGTTAAATGGTTGCTTGGAAGAAGGAAAACCTGCCTTTTTGCAACAGAATAGACAAAAAACAAAAAGTCAACAAGCATATTAACATGTGAAAGCATAACAACTGTCTCCAATTGCATGTTAAAAGGTCCTCTTTCCCCAGGCAGACACATTGAGCCTCGAATAAGCAGGTGGAAATGCAGGCTTTGGTCAGATGGCGAAGGTTCAGGAGGGGCTAAACAGTTTCTGCTTTGTAGCTCAAGAGACCCTAACAAAAGGAAAACATAATGGAAGATGTATACAATTGTGGACAGAAGCCATTTTGGCTCGGTGGCTCTGTGGCTCAGGCTTGGAGGACGAAACGGGGCAGGGTGGCTCAGAGCCGGTGTCGTGAGTCCTGGCTGTAGCTGCCTGGGGAACTGCGGTTGCGGTGGGGCTTGTAGGTGTCCTGGTAGGGGTCCTGGTAGCCCTGCTGCTCTTCCATGTAGTGGTGGTCTCGACCGCTGCCGCCGTGCTGAGAGCCAGAGGAGCCCCGGTTCCGTCCCTTGTGCGCTCGCTCGTTGTGGTAGTTCTCATCTGAGGTCATCAGGTTGCGCCGTTCGTTGGGGGTGGAGTTGTCCCCGGTGTGGTTGGCGTGCCGTGTTTTTTGTCCCTGTTGATTCTGATGTACAAGTACCAAATAAAGTAAGAACCAGCACTGATACTAAAAGGGATAGTTCACCCAAAAATGAAAATGGGAGTAGTGAAAAGCACATTTTTCTTGAGGTGTGCCTTTGGCCCCATTGTACCCTATATATATATATATAAAAAAACGCTATTTATGCTCACAACACAAAGGGAAATTCTTTCTTCTGCTGAACACAAAAGAAGATCATTTGAAGAATGTCGGTAACCAAACAGTTGATGGACATCATTGACTTCCATAGTATGGATAAAATAGTTACCGACATTCTTCAAAATACCTTGTTTTGTGTTCAGCAGAAGAAAGCAGGTTTGGAACATCTTGAGGGTGAGTAAATGAAAGGCTCACCAGAGTGGGGCAAAAGGCACATATTATTTATAGAAATACATTAGGTAAAATAATATGTTTGAAATAATGTCTAAGTTAATACTTGTTCAAAACGACAACTTTAGCAAAGTTTGTACTATTTTCTGTTTATTTTGATAAATAAAACAATTCTTTTTAAATATACTGTCATTAAAATATGTTAATATAAAATATATATTTTAAAAATACAGAAGCAAAATTATTTCAAAAAGATTCTGAAAGCAAGAATTATTAAGGAGATCCCATAACAATTTCACATAGATTAACAGTAGTAACAATAAATATTTTATTATACAATATGATTAATATCATATTTTTAAATATGATGGTTTAATTATAAATTTGTGCAAGTCAATTTACTGGTATTTGTGTCATTATTTACCACCCAAAAAAGCATGTCTTAAACCAGACGCTAATTGGTATATTGCGTTTGTCATTATGAAAATGACCTTTAATTTGTTCTTTAATTTGCACGTCGTCAGTAGATCACACGCAGAACTTTCCACTCCCACCGGCGCTTTTTTTGGAATTGTGCTCTCATGGTAACTTGCCCCCTTTAGTAAATCTGGCCCTATGTGTTAAAGGGTTAGTTCAAAAATGAAAATTCTGTCAGTAATTACTCACCCTCATCTTGTTCCAACCCCGTAAGACTTTCTTTCATCTTCACAAATTAATATATTTTTGATTAAAGGGTTAGTTCACCCAAAAATGAAAATTCTGTCAGTAATTACTCACCCTCATGTTGTTCCAACCCTGTAATACTTTCGTTCATCTTCGGAACACAAATTAAGATATTTTTTATTAATTCTGAGAGCTGGATCACTCCTCCATAGGCTTCTTGAGGGATCGAATCTGGCCGGCCCAAAAGTTATGAAAGACATCGTTAAAATAGTCCGAGTGACTACAGTGGCTCAATCTTAAGTTTATCAAGCGACGAGAATACTTTTTGTGCACAAAAAACAAACAAAAATAACGACCTTTATTCAACTATTCATTTCCTTCTCTGTGGGCCGTGATATTTCACGTAGTGATATTGCGCAAAGCTTCTAGGTTGCACGTCACACGTAGGCTCACTATTGGCCGACGCTGGTCATGTGTGTGATGCGTGACGTGCAACCTAGAAGCTTTGCGTAGTTTCACTACGTGAAATATCACGGCCGTACAGAGAAGGAAATGAATAGTTGAATAAAGTCGTTATTTTTGTTTGTTTTTTACGCACAAAAAGTATTCTCGTCGCTTGATAAACTTATGGTTGAGCCACTGTAGTCACTCGGACTATTTTAACGATGTCTTTCATAACTTTTGGGCCGGCCAGATTCGATCCCTTAAGAAGCCTATGGAGGAGTGATCCAGCTCTCAGAATTAATAAAAAATATCTTAATTTGTGTTCCGAAGATGAACGAAAGTATTACGGGGTTGGAACAACATGAGGGTGAGTAATTACTGACAGAATTTTCATTTTTGGGTGAACTAACCCTTTAAATCTGGCGGCTCACTCCTTCATAGGCTGCTTGGCAATTTCATTCTGCCGGGCCAGAAAAGTTAGTAAAAACAAGATTAACAAGCGACGAGAATACTTTTTGTGCGCAAAAAACAAACAAAAATAACGACTTTATTCAACTATTCATTTTCCTCCGTGTGGGCCTCTGACGTGAGTTCACGAGAGCGCCACGACGCATGCGCGAGAACTAAGAAGATAACACAGATGGGTCTCGATGTAGTGTTTAAAATGGTTCTAAAGTGTGCATTTCCTGGATGTCCGAATCGTTTGTGAGAAACCAACGAGAAAACGTAATAGTGCCTTACCAATGCCTCAAAATGAATGGCTTTCCTTTCACACTTTCCCATAAAATGATCGTGAGCGTCATCTTCTCAGTTCTCGCGCATGCGTCGTGGCGCTCTCGTGAACTCACGTCAGAGGCCCTCAAGGACGAAAATGAAAAGTTGAATAAAGTCGTTATTTTGGGGGTTTTTTTGCGCACAAAAAGTATTCTCGTCGCTTGATAAACTTAAAGGGATAGTTCACTTTGAAATTAATTTTTGGTATGTTTTAGCTTACCTCAAGGGCATCCAAGATGTAGGTGTCTTTGTTTCCGCAGTAGTTTCAATTTAGATATTTTTAGGTCAAACCGTTCTTGTCTGTCAGTCATATAATGCAGGTCTATGGTCTCCACCTCAAAGAGCATGCACAGAGAAGTCCAAATTAAACATGATTTAATGACTCGTAAATGTAAGTACACATTGATGGCCTAAGACATGAAACAAGCAGTTTGTGTGAGAAAACGAACAGTATTTATATCGTTTTTACCTCTTGTAAACACAGCCACGTCCAAGTGATCTGAGGGCGTGGGCGCGGGCGCTTCGGTCTTTCCGGCAAGCGCCGGAAAGCGCCGGGAGTGCTCTCTCGCGCGTGTACGTCACTCATACAATTGTTTTATTTTTTATTTTTTTAATTGTTTTCTTTTACGACGGTTTAAACATCCCGGATAAGCGCAAATTAGTACCATTTTAATTAGCCGTCTTACCTACAATCTCTGTTCTGTGTAAACAATGAGTGACGTACACGCGCGAGAGATCACTTCCGGCGCTTTCCGGCGTTTCGTTTCGTGTCTTAGGCCATCAATGTGTTCTTACATTTACGAGTCATTAAATCATGTTTAATTTGGACTTCTCTGTGCATGCTCTTTGAGGAAGTGACCATAGACCTGCATTATATGACTGACAGACAAGAACGGTTTGACCTAAAAATATCAAAATTGAAACTACTGCGGAAACAAAGACACCTACATCTTGGATGCCCTTGAGGTAAGCTAAAACATACCAAAAATTAATTTCAAAGTGAACTATCCCTTTAAGGTTGAGCCACTGTAGTCACTTGGACTATTTTAACGATGTTTTTACTAACTTTTCTGGCCCGGAAGATGCAATTACCTAGCAGCCTATGAAGGAGTGAGCCGGCTCTCAGATTTCATCAAAAATTTCTTAATTTGTGTTCCCGATGTTGAACGGAAGTCTTACGGGAATTTTTGGGGTGAACTAACCCTTTAAGTAGCCACCTGTGTGTGATGTGCGTGTGTGACTGCGCACCTGCAGGCCGGATATGGCAGACGTAGTGTAAGGGGCCAGGGCAGCAGGGCCGAGGTTCCTGCCCAGCAGAGGGTTGAGTGGGGTACTGCTGGAGGTGTGGGTGGCCTTCCAGTACGCCTCAAGATACTCCGCCAGGTGCTCGCATGCGTCTTCCAACTGATTCTCGTCCAAGATGATGTCAAACATCTCCTGTTGAAAAAAGGAAACACATTCAAGAATATTGACAAAGTATTAGAGTGATGGGCAAGACTTTATTTCGATAGTCCACTTTAGACATTTTACTAAATATAAGTAACTTTGCTACTACATTTCAACTACCAGTCAGAGTATTAGTAGACTGTCTGGAGCACTTTATTTTAATGGTCCCCAACAGACATTCTACTGACTATAAGTAAAACTTTGCAAGTACATGTCAACTTATTCTACTAACCCTAACCTAACAGTCTACTAATACTCTAATGAGAGTTAATTGACATTTAGTTGCAAAGTTACCTATAGTTATTTAAAGCTAAAGTGGACTATGGAAATAAAGTGGTGAGGTTGAGGTTAAAAATGCATAAAGCTGGAGTCTTTTCTGTATTTTCCATCCATATGTGTGTTTAGGTTTGTACGGAAAGGAAGACGCACCGGAGGACACTGTGCTAGTTTATCTGCTGCTACGAGCTGTACATTGAGATGTTTACTCTGCGACTTTCCTCTGGACTTGATGAGCCGCTGGAGGACCTACAGAACAGAAGAGTTGGTTACACAGCAATTTTGAAGTTTGATCTTTTTCCTAGTAAAACACTAAAACCATGACACAGGAGCGTCTCTGTATGTCGCACCTTTGGCGAGGACACTTTGACATGGACGATGATGGGTGCTAGTGAAGTCTTCAACAGCTGAGCAGGATGGTTGATGGTGTCTGCATCCAGCACAACCAGCTGGAGTGAGCGAGCTAGTTCAAATATGCGCTCAATCTCGCTCTGTACCTCAGCTGTACATGCATATCACACGGAGAGTTAGATATTAGTTTAAAGTTTGCACTCTAATAGAAAAAAAACAGGACTTGGAAGTGATTAATTTTGTCATTTGAGAATATGGTGTATATGATTGTATATTGCATTTGATCGCAGTATGTTGGATTAAAGTGCCCCTATTATGCTATTTTAAAGGTTCCTAATTTCATTTTGGAGGTCTCCTACAATAGGTTTACATGCATCCAATGGCAAAATACACTTTCATTTTCTCATAATATACATTGCAGCATTACCACTTTTCTTACGGTGTCTGAAACGGTTCGATAAAGGATTCAGTTTCTCTAAACCCCTCCTTTCCGAGAGCCTACTCTGCTCTGATTGGTCAGATAGCCCAGTCTGTTGTGATTGGTCTACTGCTTACAGCACGTGTTGGAAATGAAATGCCCATTACTATATCTGAATTTCAACACCGGAGGCTTCCTCAGCACTTATACACAGTGATACGAACACTAACAATGGTGTCGGTTTTACTGTATCAATTCGATCCTGAGTCCTCATCCTTTGGAAGTGCATGCAAAGTTGATTCACAGCGCAGAAAACAGCGCCTTCTTAACATGTCTTCTTGACAAAACAAACCAAAATCTTCCAGGCCTCAGCTACAACTACAGTATTTGAGGGCGGGTCAAAGTAGACGTTCACGGGCAGCCAATGAAGACCATAAGCTGACATTATGCAAATTTCTTACAAACCTACGTAGGTTCGTGCAGGAAGTAAGACTGGAATTACCGACGACTCGTTTAAGGCAGTTCAGAATCAGTTCTTTCTTATGGGAGTTAAGAAGTCAAGTCAACTTTATTTTTATAGTGCTTTCAACAATACAGATCGTTTAAAAGCAGCTTTACAGTGATCAACAGGAAAGTAATGATTCAATGATACAAACAGAGTTTAATTTGGCTGTAAAGCATCTCTAAAAAGAAAATAGGGTCATTGTTCAGCTGAAGTCAGTTCAGTGTTGGGCAATAACTTCATTTATCATGCACTTTGATTTTTGAAAATTTGCAGAACTTTTATATTTACAACATGCAAGGTGAAATCCGAAAAAGCATAATAGGGGCACTTTAAATTTAACCTGTATTTAATTTAAATTTAAATATTTCTTTAATAACCCTTTGTCAGTTATGTTTAGGCTCTCTCTATATCTTACCAAGACTGGATCTGGTATTTGAGCGCTCAATAATGGCTCTCTTGCTGGGATTGTTAAGCACTGATCTCTTTGCCAGTGAGATGTCTGCTGTCACACGTGTGATAGTTATCCTAGGACGATAAATACATGATCTATAGTTAGCTGCAGTGCAAATCTGTAATTATAACATATCAGACACCCTGTTTGTAACAATCTCCATCTTTTACAAGAGTTGTGCAGGAAGATGATATTTTCAAATGACCTATAAACCACTTTTGTTACTTACCTGCCATCAAACCGGTGTTTCAAGTAGTCAAAAAGAGCTTTCTGCATCATATCAGTGACCTGTACCAAAGATATGAAGCGTATTTTTAAAACATCTAAACTTAAATACATATTTATATAACAATTTCATATTTAAATAATAACATTTGCTCTGTTCTAAAACAATGTTTGCGTGTGCCTTGGTAATGCTTAAGGTATTGTACTACTGTAGCTGAGCAACATGTTAACGTCAAACTCGATTGAAATAAGAGTGGAACTAAGCCCGCCTACATTTTCAGCAGCCTTGGTTCCTGGCGTATTTTCCCATTCATTTTTCTCATAGGGAAAGCTTTTTATTTAAAGCAAATAATTATTTCAGACAAAATAGACAAAGGTACAAAACTACATAGCTTTATAAGCTTTAAATCCCATGAAGCATTAAAATAAACACAGAAATATAAAACTATATGGTTTTCTGATTGGTGGAGATTTATTTACAGAATCATGGGTAATGTAGTTTTTCACCAGGAATTCTGCTGTTGAACAATTATTGATCAATTATTTAAAAAAAGTTGAAATAATGCAGGCTGATGGCTTGAACAAAAGCATGTACCATCTATTAACAACCATGTAGCTCACAGTTGGTCTGTCTTTAAAGGTTTACGAGTTATCGTTTAAAATCAATCCCCGTATTGAGAAAACGAATGGGATTTTTACTCCTAAAACCCTACTGTTTATCAATTGGTAGTCTCCTGTGCAAAGTGCTATTTGTGTGCCACATATGTTAAGCATTCCAAATTGGTCACTTATAAGGGTCCATGCCTTACAAGACATTTGCGCATATAGGCAGCAAGGCAGTTTTTGGAACAGAGCTAAACATTTAATTTTGTTTTAAGGACACATACCTGCCTCATCAATGCATAAACTTAAAACAAATCACTGTAATTTAAACACCAAGCAGCTGCGTGAATAAATGAAATCCTTACAATAAAGCAAACCTGCATCTAGTTACGCCTTATAAAGGAGCTTGTTTTCCTTATTCATTTTGCCTTCTTTCTTTCTCTCACAGATTTCCTCCCTCCATCACCGTTTCCCTTTTCTGTCTCTTTCTAATTTCAAACCGTGCTCTACTTTCTAGCACTGACGTCTCCTGGACCCCGGAAGGTTGTTGCCGTGGTAACAGAACGGCGGAGAGGAGGAGTATGTTTTTGTTTTCTCTGTGTGAGGAGATGGAGAGACTGGAATAGATATTATATTTTGCTGGTATCAATAACGCAAGATGCGCACACACAGACGGGCAGCAAGTCATAAACAAAGAACGTCAGCTCTACGGCCTTGACGGGGGAATTTTCTGCTCAATGTTATTTTATGATGACTTCGCTGATTCGCCTTGTAAAAACTCTCCAGATTGATCTGTGACGAAAGCATTTTTCCGTTTGATGATGATACACCTCAACATCATTTGAGACAACCCACCTCATATCCTTTCAGGGATGGACCAACCAGCACCACAGGCCTCATGGAAGGCACAACATCATAGGGAGTCACGTGTTCAGTCTGCATATGAGATCATAGGCAAATAACAAAGCACAGCGTAAAGGACAATGCTTACATAATATCAGCTCAATACGTCAACTAGTTTTTAAGCACGAGTTTAGTTTAACTTGAGAGGAATTTGTGTTTAAGACAGCGGTGACAGTCTCCTCAGTGACTGGACGGGAAGGTTAGGTGGGGATTCTTCCATCCTGTGGACACACTTACCACTTTCTGTTTCTGCTTCCCTGTACAAAGAGAGGGAAAAAAAAGGAAAGTCAGAATAAAGCACGGTCAAGTTCTTCAAATTTGAGAATGCCATTCAAGTCATTCATGGTCCACTGTCCCATGCTCACAAGAAGCTGCTCGATTGATCTTTAGCCTTACGCAGGACAGTGTTGAAGTAAAATCATCCACTGACGAATTGCCTACGATTCCGTTTTATTTTCGGGGAGATTCCTGAAACCCCACCCCCATCTCCTAAAGCCCCACCCCCACCCCCACCAAATCACTGGCTCACCTGATGACATCACATCCCCCAAACTGGAGGACGAGCTTCCACTGGACTTACTAAAGAAATGAGCAGACAAACAGAGAAAGAGATAGAACATTTTTAGTCTGCGTGTCCAAACACACAAGCGGACTACTCTAAATCTTAATACTAAATGCTATAATCTCGAAGTTCTAATAGCTAATGCATAAGACCTGGTCAGACCCACACTGATTCTATGTCATTGTCCATGTACTGTGACCTAGAACTGATGCTGCATGTAGAATTGTTATCGATAGTCACCTGGGTTTGAGGGTCAGTCATCCGATTTCAAACTGCGAGCTGGTGTCACCTAACCTGATACCCAGTTTTCAACAAATCAGATGTCAAACAATCTCAAAATTCCACTGTATTTCAAGTCTCAAGTAAACTGCCTCATAATTTGATGCTGGGTCTCTCATCTGGTAGTCTCAGCATCAGACATTCCACCCATGGACCAGGTCTGATGCATATTTTATACAAAAATGGCAAGAGCTCTCCAAAATTCGAAGCTCAAATCTAATTAGCCTCAACGCAATTTCCACTGTGCAAACATTTTTATCAGTCTTCCTGGAAAAAAAAAGAGTTTATATAGTACCAGGCTGCCACAATAAACAAAGTGTAGGAGGTTCATACCTTAACATCTTTAAAAGATATTCAAGTGAGACACTAAAAAAGTATATCCTTGTGCACAATAGTATATTCTGTTTTTTTTCAGAGTTATGTCCATGGGGGAAAATAAAATCTGTATTTATTACTATATTATTCAGCTCTAGTTCTACAACAACTTGCACAGACTGTGGTGCCATTATTTGAAAGGGTTACTATTTTGTAACACTCTCTATTTTTGTATTATTGATTTATATTTAACACATCAAACATTCAACAATCAAAACAAAGCAAAATTAAACAAAGACAAATATCAAACAAAAACAATGACAAAGACAAAAAACAAAACAAAACAAAAACAAAACAAAACAAAACAAAACAAAACAAAACAAAACAAAACAAAACAAAAACAAAAACAAAAACAAAAACAAATGATGATTGAATGCTCTTATTTTTCAAACAGACAGTTTAAGTGGGTGGTTCTTGGCCAGAATAAACTGCACTGTGGACTAGATATCGATGTTGATACTGATACTGTTGAGTACTCTGGTACTGCATTACTGGAGCGAAGACATGCAATGAAAGAACAGTAAACTGTGATTAAATGTATTATCTGGGGTCAAATTCAAGTCATGATGTATTTGGCAAAGATAACAGTCCAGATTACATTGCATAGAAATGGTGAAAAAATAAAGGGTAACAATTCAGGAAAATCCACAATACCCTCTGGTTTTAAATTTCAATGCTATTCTCCCATATTTACAGCGGCAAAAGTACACTTTCTTTAAAAGGCCACCTCTGTTCTTGAAACCCACAACACTTATTTAATAGCAAGGTGTACAGACTGGGATATATAGTATATATTTAAAAATGTCTATTGTGTCCTAAAATAAGGCATGCAGTGACTAATATGCAATATTCTGTTTCTACATCAACAATCTATAGTATCTACAGAATAGCACCTACAGAGCATTTGGTTTTCTACAGATTCAAAAGGGCATCGAAAACATGTTTTTAATAATGGATCAAATTACATATAAAAATGAGCCTAGAAATATGAAGTGGTGCACATTTTTGGAAGATTCTCCAAGATTTCATAGCCAGGTTGATTAAAAAAAAGAAGAAGAGAATATTATAAGAACAGACAGATTATTAAGGACCAAGAGGTTGTGGAAAATCAAATGCTCCATCAACTAGGTAAGAATGTTCTGTGTCTGCTTACCCTTGTACGCGGCTTTTCTTCTGTTCCAGCTGTGCTCTGATATTCTCCAGCTTCAGGGGACTGGGGATAAAACCAATCTCACAGCCTTCTTTCACCAGCCTCCCAATCCACCAGTCATTATTAAACTTCTGCATATGGAACAGAGAAAGGACAAAAGAAATAAAAGCTTGGAAAAACTTAGCGTTTGACCAATGATACCAGTTTTAGTAATGAATTTTGACTGGATTTTTTTTTCTATATTCAAAGTCATCAATGAGTCAGTAGTGACCCTTTCACTAATGGGCCACCAGACCACAGTACCTCTTTGATGTGCAGGAAGTCTTTTGCATCGAATGAGATGGCAGTTCCTGGCACAGGCACATCTTCATCCAGCGCACCACAGTAACTGACATTTGTCTTCACGGCAAAGGCCACCGCTTTGGCCTGGAGGTCGATGTTGTTAGAATTAAAAACAAAATAAATATATAAAAAAATAAAGAATACACACAAACCACACACACGCACGTTTACATCTAAATGGGGACATTCCATAGACGTAATGGTTTTATACTGTCCAAACTGTAAATTCTATCCCCTTACACTAACCCTACCCCTAAAAACAACTCATCACACAAAACTTTCTGCATTTTTATAAAAACCTTTAATTACTTCATTTTTATACCAGATTTACAAATGAGGACGTCATTAAAGGGAGGTTTTTGGATATTTTTCCAGGTTTTGTTCACTTCTGGGTACAAATTTGTCCCCAAAAAATAGTTAAGTAGGTAGCCTACACGCACGCACGCACACACAGTGTTGGGGTAATGCATTACAATATAAAGCATGTGTTACATATGATAAACTCCACATAATAATATGTAGTAAGTGTGATTTGTGTCTGTCCTGACCTTTGCCCTCTCCAACTGCTGTGCAGCCTGCTGTTCTCGCTCCTGGCGGCCCTGACTACCCCCCTCCGGCCTCTCCTCCTCCAACGACACATCTGAATCAGACGGCCTGCTAGTGTAGGAATCAGCTGAACCCTGCCAACAGAAGGCACATACTAAATTACTTACATGCATGCAGTCTAGTAATGGCTTTACATGGGAAAAGTTATTAAAATGACATTTTCCTTGCTTAGTCCACCCAGATCACTTATGAAAACCTCAAAAATGGGTTGTTCTGAAATATCAGCTCACTAACATTAGCTCGTCCATGTTGATATCTAATCAGAATTCAGATACTTGGTCTGCCCTGATGGAAGACAGTCTGAAATATGTGGAACCAATCAAAATCAAGGACATTTACATATAGATGCTTTACATGGGAAAAGTTATTAAAATGACATTTTCCTTGCTTAGTCCACCCAGATCACTTATGAAAACCTCAAAAATGGGTTGTTCTGAAATATCAGCTCACTAACATTAGCTCGTCCATGTTGATATCTAATCAGAATTCAGATACTTGGTCTGCCCTGATGGAAGACAGTCTGAAATATGTGGAACCAATCAAAATCAAGGACATTTACATATAGAAGTCTTAAAGGTATAGTATCAAAAACTGTAGCTCAATCAACAGAACATGGCAGTAGCAATGCCAAGGTCATGGGTTTGACTCCCAGGGAAATCACATGTGTACCTTGAATGCAATGCAAGTTGCTTTGGCGTCTGCCAAATATAAAAAAAATTAAAATGTTTTTATAGGTCAGAGTTAGGATGGGATATTGCCATATAAAACTCAATAATGTTTGTTTTGGGTTTAAGAAACCTGCAATAACCTTGAATTGGACAGCTGTGCAAAAAGTGGGAAAAAAGACCAGTTTCCAAAACGGAGAATGACTTAAAAAAGAGATTTACCTGAAACCGTCTTTCCCATTGTAGAAATACATATTGACATTTGACCACATTTGTGCATCAAAAAACAAGATCAGACCCTTCGGACTGTAAAAAAAAAAAATTGCAATTGCAATGGTTAAAGACTGTAAAAATGCTACAGTAAAACCTGTTAATTGGTTAATATTAAGTTTCTTTGGTCTATATGGTTCTTATCATTTATGTTGTTAAATGTTTAGTGTCATGTGTTACCATGATTGTGTTTTGTGTTTGTGTGTAGCACTATGCAGAAATTACAAAAGTAAAAATAAAAACAGATTTTAGTACATTGATTTAGTATTCATTGTTAATGAAATTAAGTTTTTTTTTTTTTTACCCAGGTCAATCTGTAAAACTTAAAATGTTGCTACTGTATTTTTACAGCAAAGTTGCTGCCATCACAGCTGCCGTTTTATTAACGTAATTTTCAGAGATTCTTTTTTTATTACAGTGCCTTGAACTCTCTTCCTTGGTCATTATGCACATTGGTCTGGTCAGCTGGATTTTCATTACGTCTGTGATTCTCATGTTTGCCTATTCAGACCGCAGCAAACACAGGTCAGCAAAAAAACCACCTGTACCTCTATTAACTAGACAGAGCTGTCACCCATAGAGATACACGCTCCTTACGCAAACAGAAAATACACCTGTGAACTGAAGGTGAATTCAGGTAAAGTCCTTTTGTTCCCAGTCTACATTAGTCTTTAAAAATAACAGATAGATTTACTAATAGACCAGGTAATAATAAACATTTATTTCACATGTAATTTCTTTTGTTATTGGTATAGCAATTAATTACACAAATGTGCAATGTGTGACATGGATACTGTTATGTAAAATGTCACCCACCATTTTAAGTCATCACACATTTTTGTATAAATTGAATATGAACGTTCACAGTTTAAAAGAGTGTAAGCAGTATGCATTCAAATGATTTGGACTGTAATTCCCACCTTGAGGCATCTGTCCCTGTCTGAGACAAATATAGACATTATGAATCCTAAAATAGAGTAACAGGCTATGATATGTCAAACCTTTATCAACAGGATAGAAACCCATTATCTTCAAACCAAAAACTATAAATTTATGAGCTTCCAAAACCGTTTAATGCTGTACATTCATTTCAACAACGTGTCTCCTCATCCGTTTCCATCATCCATCAGTTGTGAGAAAGTTCCTTATTACTTCCGTATCTTTTACAACCAACTACTCTAAATAGTAAAACGTTTTCAATAGTACAAATACTACTCCAAAGTAAAAACTCAACCCTAGGATATATCCTCTCAGCATTCCTATGCGAAAACATAAGATAGTTTCCTTTGAGAATACATACCTTCACTGCTGGCTTCTCAGGACCATGAAAAACGTCACAATACATAATCTGAACATTTTCACCTGAAATCTCCATGAAGTCCTCAGACGGCTCCATGACATTCAAGAGAGAGGCACCTGAACCCTATCGGCTAAATAAAAATATATACCGTAGGCATTCACACTTTCCCCCTTTAAGATAATAAAGAAGATCCAACCAGCAAGTACATAGTCCTCTAATTAATGAGAGATACTGCTCAAAGTGAAGCGAAGCTAGGAAGCTGTATTCTGTTAATCCAATTTGGAAACAACATTAGCTCAAGTCAGTGAAAAGAATGATCGGGTCAATATCGCATTAGAGAGAGGCTGAGAGAGAGAGAGAGAGAGAGAGAGAGAGAGTGAAAAAGCCTCACAGTCGGCTAAAAAATTTCAGCACGCTGCCTATGGCAAAACACTTTTTCCCTGAAGGCAGCCGCTCGACACAAGCTTACTTCAGCAGGGACCCAATTGAGGCCGGTGAGTCCAATCACAAAACGCCTGATTCGGGAAACAAAAAAATGCACAAGTTTGCTTATCTTCCGCCGCAGAAGTGATGATTGTGAGCAAAAAACGAAAATTCAAACGAATGGCTTTCATCCTCGATTTTGACGAGATAACAGTCTTTTTGCTGAAGAGTGACTTTGGAGGGCCTGTATAGATTCATGTATAACATCATGAAGAGAAACAATGGCCCAAAATGAAGTTAAAACAGACAGGTTTCTCTTCAACTAAACTAGGCTTTTTTTTAAGCTTAGAAGCTTTATAGCCACAATTCAACTGGGTTTGCAATGCAAAGCGCAGCGAATGTGGTTCAAATGGGTCTGCATTTTATTAGTAAACAAATATTATATTCTCCCAGACACCAATTTGGAAGTATGTAGAAAATCAGTCATGAACACAGACTATGTAGTTACAGAACTTCTACAAACAAATTTATTAAACATTAAGCTTGCTGATTGAAATTTTGGTAACACTAAAGGCCCATTTATACCAATGACGATAACTATAAGCATAACGGTAAAGATATAGTTCTTAAAATAGTTCTCAATATTAAAGAATACCAGAGTCCACAACACAGCTATAACGATAACGGCACAGAAAAACGATATCGTTGGAATCACTTTCAGAACTATTTTATCCAGCTGATGAACCATAAAAACATAGACACCCAATCAGAATCCATCCTGTTGTAACAAGCCTGAGCGTTTAAAGTGACAGACAAGCACATGCTCAGAATCTTTATAGTTATCGTTCTTGGTGTGTTAAGGGTCCAATTCTCACTATTAACTAGTTGCTTATTAGCATGCATTTTACTAGGATATTGGCTGTTTATTAGTACTTATTAAGCACATATTAATGCCTTATTCTGCATGACCATATTCTACATCTCTTAATCCTACCCAATACCTAAACTTTACAACTACTAATAATAAGGAGTAATTAGGAGTTTATTGACGCAAAAGTTGTAGTAAATAGTGAGAAATAGACACTAATCTAAAGTGTAACTGAAATTTTAAATGATTTTATGTGCCCTAGTTAAAAAGTTACACAACACCATATACCATGTTTATTCAAAAAAGCAAAGGAACCTGATTATGGATTATAGTCTGTATCTTAAATAGATGGTCTATATACATATAGGACACTGAAATATAAACACAGCTGATGGGAATTAAAGTGGGTTCTATGGGCCTCCAACACATACACACACAATTCCTGATGGCTTTTCCAGACTTCTGGCTCGATTTCATTTTAAGGCATTCAAGTGGGGCGCCTAAGCCATGTGACTCATTACATTCTACACATCAGCAAGATAAGGCTCTGCCCCTTTAACAGCCAGACAGTAAATGAAGCTTTACAATTTTATTTTAATCCTGAAAAAAAAGCAAACCCCCCCCCCCCCCCCCCCAAAAAAAAACAAACAAACTGGAAAATGAATGAGAGACGTGTTTTTTTTTTTTACTGTAGGATTCTTTAAACACGCCATATGGAATAGGAGTTAATGTTCAATGGGAATGTGTGCTATTAACAACACATACAAAAAGACACATACACACAAGCCTCTGATGAGCATCTCCCAATAGTACACCCACGGAAATTGGTGGGCTGCATCTTAGAAAATCATGGTACACTGAGTCTCGCAGGCCCTGTATGTGCAGCACAGCTGAGCCAGTGTTCGGCACACGCACACGAGCGCGCTCACGCACGCACACATATAGCCAGTGGGAAAACACTATATATAGCCGTAGCCAGTTCCGATCAAGAGAAAAATAACTCACCGCCTCCGAGTCTTCAAATCCATGCAGGTACAAATTGTCATACATGGAGGTTTGCTATTCCAAAAAGGTCTTCTTGAAGAATAGAGAAAAAAAGAGGAGGAGGAGGTGGTGGAGATGGAGAGAGAGGGGGAGGAGGAGGAGGAGGAGGAAGAGGAGGAGGAGGGAGCCACCACCACAAAAAAAGAATCGATGGGGGGATGACGATTCCCTTGCTCCACAGAGGAAGAACAAGGAGGGAAAAAAAGGGTGAGAGATGCCTCACGAGAAAGGATGGAGAGAGAGAGAAAGAGGGAAAGCAGGCCTGTGCAGACGGCTCGGCCTGCAGGATGGAGTGGATCCCTCGTTCAGCCTCCAATTCTCTCACATCCTCAGGCAGGGAGAAGCTTCCCAACGGCTCACTGACGCGGACGTTTCATCATCTCTCAGCAACACGCTCACACACACACACGGCACGGCGCTGCTCCCCGCATCAGAGAGAGAGAGAGAGGGTAAGGCAGAAAGAGAGAGAGAGAACCCTTCCTCAATCTCAGGCTGACGACACAGTTGACCAGCTGCATGCTGATTGGTCGAGCAGCCTTCTAGTCAGAGCTGCTGCTGACGTGTGTTCTCCTTGACAGTGAACGCTTATGAGAGAGAGAGAGAGAGAGAGAGAGAGAGAGCCTCCCTCTGCCTCTCTCATTCTCTCTTTCCTTCTGTTATTTCTTTTGAATGTACAGTCAGTTTTTCTCCAGTATGTTCCCCTTTATTTGTCAGTTTTTCTCCAGTATGTTCCCCTTTATTTGCAATGATCATATCTAAAACTTGTTTAATATGGCCACACACACACACACACTTATTTATATATTACATAAATAAAAACAAATCTTTTACTGTTTTTACCTCTTTTATCAACATACTCTATAGTGGACGTTAGTGTGATCTAACATAAGGTCTGGATGATGTAAATATGTATTGTATATACTTCATATTTATGTACACTCAATATAAATTATATAAATAAATTATGAACGTCACTTATACAAATTTGCATTATGATCTGTGACAAAAATTATAGTGGAGTTGGAAGAAAAAGAAAAATGAGAAAAAGGTTTTAACAGGCATGCATCACAGCACATTAAGCCTATCTGAACAAAACAAGAATAAGGACAGTAAATGTTTGCTACATTAAATGTGTCTGAGTACTATTTCTACTGTTTAAGTGACTAATCTCTAAGTAATAATTTAATTGAGCCAAATAAGGGGAGCATCGCTTTTTACCTGATCACTTCCAGAAATGGACAATTTCTTTACCTGTCTCAGGATAAAACTGGTGGAGGTGGTGCTGCCATCAGACCTCTTCAGTCGACTACGGCGTGAATATGTTCCCCTGTTCACCTGTAGAGGGAGCAATGACAAAAACATGAATGAATTGTTTCAGATATGGTTGTTCTCCAATCCTTTCCCAACCATTTACTTTTGAGAATATAATATTATTATCTATGTTAATGGAATAATTTTTCTGATATTTGATATTAACGTAACACTTTAGAATAATGGTCTGGCATTAATAGGTAACTATGCAGGAGGAAGTAATGCAGGACAAATGAGTGGTACTACATTAACACTTCAACTACTACTATTAACTAATTTGTAAGCAAGATTAACTAATCAGTACGTAATATCAAATTTAGGACTGAGATAGTTCCCTATCAGTCAGTCACTTTCGACGTTACATCAGTGACTGACGATTTGGGATCTCGTCTGAGAGCCCAATCACCTACAAGTGGTACAGAACAAGCCAATGGACTTTGGCGAGTAAGATTTGCATCGCAAACCACACCCTGTGCTTCAGATATATAAGGAAGTATGCAGGACTTTACTTTACTTTAGCTCTGCTGAAGCTTCTTCCTGGTTCCGTTAAACCACTGGAAGAGATGACAGCAGTGGGGAAAGGTTGCTTGCACACTGTGGAAAGCTTGCTTGCACACTGCGCATTCTCTAAAATAACATTTCTACACGCTGTGCAGGCAACGTTTCCCCAGTGCACTTCAGCCCAAAAGAGTTTTTTCCTCTAAAAGATTAAACACGGTTGTGATGTTGCATCTTTTTCAAGATGTCATTCCACCCATGTGTTTCTTGATGAGGTTGTTACCTGGCCCCATCTGACAGTCACGATCACTGTCTCACGTGTCTGGGTTGTAAGCACGCTGAGACATTGTTAGTGGATTAGTCATGTACCCACTGCGGGAAGATGACCATCGCAATGCTGAAATCGAGACTCCCATACCTTGAGAGAGGTATCCCCCTTCGGGGAGAGTAGCGTTGTTCGAGTCCGATCCAGAGCAGACGGCCATGCTTTCCCGTGCCGCCGTGAGCATTGGGCTCAAGTGGAAGCCTCTACAGTGTTCTGAATGCTCAAGGCTGGATGATTGGTTTCTCAAGGCGGGTGTAGCTGTTCAGCAGCGTTACGCTCGTGTGCCTTTCTTCCCAGAAGTGCATGAGGAGGTCACAAAGTTTTGGAAGGCACCTTTTTCTGCCCGAAACCATTCTGGAGCCTATCACTAACCTCGATGGTCGGGGAGGCCAAGGGGTAAGTGGAGATTCCCCAGGTGGAATGTGCAGTTGCGATGCAGCTTTGCCCGCAAAGTGCTGCTACCTGGCCGCTTCTGCCCTGCACGCCCTGCAAGTATACCAGGCCAAGGCACTCAATGAGCTGCATGAGGGTAGTTCTGATCCAGGGTTGATGCAGGAGCTGCGCACAGCGACAGACCGCTACCCTCTGGGCAACGAAAGTCACTGTGCAGTCTGTTGGGCAGAAGATGTCCACACTTGTGGTCCAGGAGCACCATCTCTGGCTGAACCTGGCTGAGATGAAGGAAGCTGACAAAGTTCGCTTTATTGACTCTTCGGCGACAATGTCGACAACTTCGACCCAGCAGCTCTCAGCAGTACAGAAGCAGACAGAGGCGATAAGACACATCCTGCCCCGGCTGTCTGCTGCTGCATTACACCACCCTGCTGCTGGCAGACCCCCGCCTTCTCGTCGCAGAGGGCATCATCATGAAGCAGACCGCAGAAAGGTGAAGCAACCCCTCCAGCCAACATGAGGTCAGGGTTTTATGCAGAAACACCTTTTTAAATGCATTGGCCCCCAAGATTGGTTTGCAGCGATCGACCGGAAGGAGGCGTACTTTCATGTCTCAATTCTCCCTCGACACAGATCATTCCTACGCTTTGCGTTTCAGGGGCGAGCATATCAGGACAAGGACCTCCCCTACAGGCTGTCCCTATTGCCCAGTGTCTTTAAGAAGGTCGCGGAGGCCACCCTTGCCCCTCTACGGGAGGTGGTTGTTTGCATCCTCAACTATCTCGACGACTGGCTGATCCTGGACCACTCACGAGATCAGTTCAAGTTCAAGTTAATTTTATTTATATAGCACATTTTTACAACAGCCACTGGCTGGCCAAAGTGCTTTACAGAACAGCAGAAATTAAAACAAAATAATACCTAACACAACACAAATGAGAGCAACGTTAAAACAGGAGTAGAAAAGCAGTGTCAGACTCAAATATAAAATAGTAAAACAGAAGTGACAAAACAGTATCAGACTCAAATTTAAAATGGAAAGAATCATGAGTGGCAAAAAACAATATCATACTCAATGGAAAATAGTAAAACCAACCAACCCTAAATATAGGCAATGGAAAACAAGTGCGTCTTTAGAAGAGGCTATCCTAATTTCTAACGGCAAATTGTTCCACAACCGAGGCCCGACCACAGAAAAAGCTCAATCCCCTCTGCGTTTAAGTCTGGAATGTGGGACTAATAACAGGTTTTTGTCGCTCGATCTCAGACTTCTCGAATTAGTATATGGTTGCAGTAGTTCAGATAGATAGCTGGGGGCTTTATTATGCAGAGATTTATGAACAAATAACAAGATTTTAAAATCAATTCTGAAATTAATGGGCAACCAATGTAGGGACCTCAGAATAGGAGTGATATGGGTGCTTTTATGGCTATTAAAAATAAATCTTGCAGCAGCATTTCGCACTAATTGAAGACGAGCAATTTGAGACTTTGAAATCGAGCAGTAAACTGAATTGCAGTAGTCTAAACGTGATGTAATAAATGCATGAACAGCCATTTCTAGACTTTTAAGATTAAGGAAAGGTTTGACTTTAGACAGCAGAAGAAGTTGATAAAAACTAGAGCCTATTACAGATGAAATTTGTTTGTCAAAGTTTAAAGACTCTAATGAAACACCCAGGTTCCGTACACTTGACGATCTAAAAGCAGATAGTCTGCCTAGATCGAAGGAGGAAGCAGCCTGAGATTTTACAGTGGGCCCAAAAACGATCACCTCGGTTTTGTTTTCATTTAAAGACAAACATTTTTGGGCCAGCCAAGATTTAACTTCCTCTAGGCAACTCAGTAATGACGAAAGGGCAGATGGATCTTTCCCCTTGATTGGTAAATACATTTGGGTATCATCCGCGTAACAGTGAAAACATACCCCATGTCTTCTTAGAATGGTGCCCAATGGTAACATGTACAGAGAAAAGAGAGAAGATGCCAAGATAGATCCTTGAGGAAGACCGCAGGTCAAATGCGCAAAAGAAGAGGAAAAATTGCCTAACTTGACTAGGAAATTCCGATCAGAGAGATAGGACTGGAACCACTGGAGGACAATACCTTTTATCCCCACATAATACTCTAGTCTGGAAATCAGGGTAGCGTGGTCAACCGCGTCAAAACCTGCTGATAGATCTAAGAGTACAAGAACCATGGAGTCACCAGTGTCCGTGGATAGATAAATGTCATTTAAGACTCTCAAGAGGGCAGATTCAGTGCAGTGGGCAGACTTAAAACCAGTTGTACTAACACAGAGACTTGGTGCTCAGGTACCTCAGCCATCTGGGACATCAGGTCAACTGGGAAAAGAGCAAACTCTCCCTCATGCAGAGTATGTCTTTTCTCGGTATCAAGTTGGACTCGGTCACCATGACAGCACGTCTCACAAGCGAGCGTGCTCAGTCAGTGCTGAACTGCTTGAATTCGTTCAACGGCAGGACAACGATTCCACTGAAACTATTTCAGAGGCTTCTGGGCCATATGACATCCACGGCCGTGGTGACAGCTTCAGCACTGGTTACACGACCGAGTCCCGAGATGGGCATGGCACATTCCGGGCGACAATCACACTGGCCTGTCGCCGAACTTTCAGCCTGTGGTCAGACCTTGCTTTTCTGCTAGGAGTCCCCCTAGAACAAGTGTCCAGGCATGTTGTTGTCTCAACAACCAGCTGAGGTGCCGTGCGACTCAGGTTGCTTGATGCCATTCACATTCTGGGTGATGCGCTCTCATGACAGCTCACACTCCCGGGAGAGTGGAGACTCCACCCCCAGGTGGTCCAGCTGATGCTCCAGAACTGATGCTCCTCACGACAAATCCCTCCCTGGCGCATTCCCCTGAGGAAGGATCTGCTTTTTCAGGGATGGCGCGCCATATGGCACCCACGTCCAGACCTCTAGAACCTCCA